TCATATATCCCAGCTGAAGGCAAACAATTCTTCCTCATGCACGTCAATCCGTTTTCTCCGATATAAGGAAATATCCGTTCGTGGAAATTAGAGATGGGATTCAATGCACTCCCATCCGGAGACAGCTTGACACTCTCCTTCCTTAGAGCTTTGATTTTTTCAATCCTTATCTTTTGCTCTTCATCATCCTCAGACTCAGGTAACGTGCGTGCGTTTTCAGCCATCAACTGGTCTGTGACCTCATATACCTCATTGTCACCTTTAATGCCAGCGTTTTCCAATACTTCCTCATCTTTGTCGGGGACATCAGCAGCTACTTTCAACTTTTTAACTGTTTTAGAAGCAGGCTTTCTACCTCTTTTACGTTTTACTGGTGTCTGCTCTTCTTTGACGTCCTTATCTTTGACGGGCTTATCTTTGACGGGTTTATTCTTTCCCGCTGCGATTTTCGATGTGTCAATTTTCCTCGAGCGTAATTTCCTAATCGAAGGAGACGTCTGGATGAAATCAATAGCAGACTTTCCATCAATGACCTTATCAAATTCTTTTTCCAGCTTCTTATTGACACCAGCAATACCATCTTCCTTCTCAACATCGACCATATCCTTCGCCTGCATACACTTTATGATAATTCAGTTATAAGATAATGATAAATCAGCTGTAATGATTACTCTGCCATAATGTGATTAAGATAATGATAAATCAGCCGTAAGGTGATTAATATAATGATAACTCTGCCACAAGGTTATTAAGATAATAATAACTCAGCCATAAGTTGATTAAGATAATAATAACTCAGCTACAAGGTTATTAAGATAACAATAACTCAGCTGCAATGTATTTATAAATCAGACATATGTCTGGCACTGTTAGCTTACCAGAGGACTAGTAACAGACTGGTTTTGTGGAGGTTTCATTGGACGTTTTGGTGTTATTTTTTCTTTCCGATTCAGCAATAGGTCGGTATGCGTCGGGTTTCCGAGCGTATCTATAAGTTTGATTGATGAGTTTTCCTCACAGTTTTCACCGGATTTACCTAAACCCTGCTCCATGGCATTCAGACGCTCTTGCAGCTGTTTGAACTCCTTCTCCATAGATCCAAACCTGCTTTCAAACTTTGCATCCATCCTCGCTTCTAATCTATCTCCAATCACCTTCTCCAGATTTGAAGAAACATCTCTGATGCTTGTATCAACGGTGTCAAACCTTGAGTTTAATTGATTCACCATATCCACGACTGCTTTAACAGACACATCGACCAGAGCATCGTCCTCCGCACTACCTCCCTGCAACACATACACAAAAACGCATAAACAAGCTAGCCAAACATTACATAAAATATAAACTCACTACATACCATATCACTTACCTTTCTTCTTTCTTCTTCTTCTTCTTCTTCTTTTGTGTATCTCCTTCATCAGATTTCCCACCCTCACTTCTGTCCACCAAATCACTTACATTTTTCTTCTTCTTCTCAGTCTTCTTCACATCCCAATAACCTTTAACAAACTTATCCTCATGTATGTCTCGGATCAAGTTATCAAATGCTGGATCTTCTTCTTCATCTGGCCACGTATGAAATAGCTCTCTTACATCATCCTTCATAACCATTTTACTCACACGCAGCTATAACATAAGAGATTATAAAACCCGTCTGTAAGTTTAAACTCAAACATCAATAAGTATAACTCAGACATCACTAACCATAAATCAACCATCAGCCATCTCAAACCATAACTCAGCCACAACAAAATATAACTCAGCTATCAAAAAATATAACTCAGCCATACCTAAAAACATACCTCAGTCAGTAACTATCATAACACAGCCAAAACCTTACCTCGCCATGCGTTTTGATATCTTCAACAATGGTCGATTCCATTGATGTACGTGTACGGTTTCCACCCCAACGAAGCAACGGTATCTCATCCTTGTTGACTACGTTCCCATGTCGCTCTCCAAAGCATTTGACTGAATCATACGCCCAAGCCTGTAACACGAAAACCATACCACTGATGGTGTAAGTCTTTCCAATAGGCCTCAACATCTTTATAGAATTAACAAGGGCTTCAAATGCTGACCGACCCCATGGATAAGTGTTCAAGGCTTCTTCATCAAAAACTCTTTTTGCACTTTCAAATGGTATTCTAGAGTTATGATGCAAGCCATAAAATCCAATGGCTTGAAGAGTCAACAGCCCCAACCACTTACGCTTTTCAGGAGTCCATGTCCGGCACACTACTAATCCTGCCTTCAGTTCATCTAGCTTTGGACCTTCACCACCAGGCACATTCAATTTACTGAAGAACGCTTTGTAGTCAGCTTTAGGTTCAAACTTTTCTGTAGGGATTGAATCCGTGTTTAACCCCGTGATATGACCAAATTCATTCAAGCCAAACCTGTGGGTTGACCACCAACCAGAAATCAAATCTCCTTCTTATGTATTCTTAACTGTCTACACAGTAGAAAATGTACAGTCTTACCAGACCACACTAATTGGCTATCAGCTAGCTTAGCAATTATTCCAATAGGTGACCCCTTCATTTCATTCCACGCATCTTGTCCTATTGATTCTCTAATTGCAGGGAAATCTCCCATCTTGATATTGTGATTAATCCCTTTATTCTCCAGAATAGACTCCCCTTCTGCGTAAAGTCTTGGAGGGTAAGCCCTTGGAGGGTAATCCCTTGTTTGTTCTTCAGAAATAACCTTAGCCATCTGATAGACCATAAATCAGCCGTAAGCATACATTAACTCAACCACAACATAAAACAAACTCAGTCACAGATGCATTGATAAAATATAATTCAGTCGTAAAGCATACAGTAACTCAGTCACAACATAAAACAAACTCAGCCATAGTTGAGCAGATAAACCATAACTTAGTCGTAAGCATAGAGTAACTCAGCCACAACGTAAAACAAACTCAGCAACACCATAAAACAAACTCAGCCATAGATGCATTGATAAATCATAAATCAGTCTAAAGCAAACAATAACTCAGCCATCGAATCGAATAGATATAACAATTTAGCCACCGTATGAAAACCCTCAATTTCTTCGCGATAGTTTTTGGAAAACGGTTTCAATCACGGAAATCACTCGCTATTGAACTTAGATGCGGGATAAATGTCGGAAAATCCAAAATCAAGATTCGACACATACCTTAAACAAGTTGAGTTGAGACGAAATGGTCCCGACTTGAGGTGAGACGACGAAGTAAAAGGTCCCGACTTGAGTAGAGACGAAATTCGACGGAGAGAACGAGAGAGTTAAGAGTTTCGGCCGGAATTAGGGTTTCTTAGTCTTAGTCGGAATCGCCTTTGCGACGGAGAAAGAAACAGTTTTTTTTTCCCGCGGATGAACAGTGACAGAGAGGGAAATCGAAAGGGTTCTCTTAATGACGTTAATGACGTGGCTTTAATTTGTTTTTCTTTTAATGACGTGGATTAACATAATTTTCATTAATCATTTCTTAATTAAAAAAGGATTAAAAATTTTTTTATTAAAAAAAACTAATCAAGGGTGTTAATTGTAATTACACAAACACGCTAAACATATGAGTAATTATTAGAAAATGTATGATATTCTAGTAATATTCCAACTTTTGTATAACATCTGAGTAAATTTTTCTAATTTTTATAGCGGAAGAGAGCAAACATTACATTTGATCTTATTTGAATCTTTTTGGCTGCCAATTTGATGCAAACCTACCAAAAATAATAATAATAAAACAACATGTCATTTACATCCATCAACTAAAATAATACAAAAAATGTGTTCGAACTATTTGGTACAATTTGCTGACCAAATAATTTTTCTTCTACTATAAGAGAACTAACATGACATTTTCCACCTCATTTGAATCATTTTAGCTACCAGTTTGAAGTAAACCTACAAATGTACATTTTCTCATTTATTTTTTCATTGACTCTCAACTCATTACAATAATAGTTAGGTCTTCTACAGTTTGGCTATAGAGCTAGTTTCAAATTTTCTTTTTACACTGACATCTCTTTCTACTTGATGAGTTGTGTGTATCTTCTTCTCATTGTAACAACTGATTGGAAATAATGTCCAATTCTTTCGTTTATTAACCAAAACTGTTAATTTAATAGTGTTCAATCTCTGTTGATTTGTTGGAGTAGCTATTGTTAAACTAAGTTTAAAATTTCTTGTTAGTCCATGAACCGATTTCGTTGTGAAAGATTCAGTTTTTAATCTCTGCATATCTCTAATTTTTGTTTTTCTCTATCGTATAATTGCTTATAGAAAAGGTTTTGTTGAAAAAGCCGAGACAAGACTTCAATCACACACCAAACCTACTCTAAAGAAAGAAACGAAAATACATTTAAGCTGATAACAGACTCTTAAGAAACACATAAATTCTATACTTAAAGAAACTTAATCAAATAAAGCTAAGCGATTTTTCAAATTTGTACACCTCAACAAACTATTTAAAAAAAAAAGATTAAAAGCAAAATGTTTTCTTGTCTCATGTGTTCTTTCTTATCTTTTTTCTCTATTGCAAACATAATGAAAAAAAATCTAAGAACCATTTTTTACAGTTTTTATTTTCTGGATAGAACTTTGAATGAGTAACCGGTTGGGTTCAGTTAAACATGATGCATATACTCATCCAGTCATCCTTGTCTTTTTGTATCGATCCAAGTATGGATGAATAAAAATGAGAGATCACATCTCTATATATAAAAGAACACCTCTAAAACAGATGATGAGAGTTAAAATGATCACACATACACCTCTATAAAAGAAATAAAGAAAGTGCAATAAGTGTCGGTGGATTTGTATTAAATGTGAGACTGATCTATTTGATTGAAGCTAATTGCTATTGATTTTCTTTTAGAGAATAATACATGCAAAGTATTCTAAATATCCTTCATGATCAAGTAAAAAATAGTAAACCTTCAAGTTTGGCCTAATAATCCGGTTAGGGAAAAAACAAAACCGTGATCGTGACAACTACACCAATCTTCATCAATGTACTAAGTGTGTTATTTCTACAAACCATCTTACTGCTGATACAATACTAGTTGGCCATTGAAAAGGAGAAAGTGGCCATAAATCCGATCACTTATTCTACTTTTTTCTTATCTTTCTCTTTTATATTTAGTAACAACTGAACATAAGAAGTAAACTAATACGTTTAAGACCAATTCATTTGTTCCCATTCCCAAAAAGGTTGTGATAATCCATCAACCATATCTGAGATGCTTTGTGTAATAGTAGTAGCATTCACCGGTAAATCAACTTGGTTTCCTCCTGAATGTGAAGTTTCTGGTGAGGTTGATATTGTGGCACGAGATGATGTCTCAACTCCATTGCTAGGAAGGCTTCTCTCTATCGCATAAGCTTCTGTGGGACGTCTGTCAAAGGCTCTCGAGCTTCCTGACTTTATGTAGATTCGACAGATACTGAATTCGTTCCTCAACTATATTCAATAGCAACAAACTTCGTTAAAACTTTTTTTGATCATGAAAGAGTAACTATTTTTTTTCTTAGATATTATCAGTAACTTAGATACTAACTTATGCATCTTAGGGTAGAAATTCTATGAATCTAATATATATATAACCTATAGAGGAAAGAATGCATGCATGAATTTTTAGTTTTTTTTTTTAATCATTTTATGTAGGCATTATTTCAAATTGGATAATTTCAAATACTTAAAAACACATGTAACTTTTTAAAAATCTACCGCACACTTTTTTAGCACATATATCACTTTTGAAAACAATGATATAAGTAAGATCTGATATATGCGTTATATATATATATATATATATAAAACATCTATGATAAAGATTTTGGACAGAATCAAAGGGTGATTCGTTTTGAATTTTCTATGCTGTAATAATTGTTCAAAGATTATTCATCTGCTAGTTTACTGCACCTGCTTGTCCAAAAAGGTGTTGAGACATCAGTTTTTTTTTATATTGGAATCCCACATATAAAATTAATTTGGTATTTGAGAAAAAGAACTTGTTAAATTAGTATTTGATGTAAATCTTCATTTTAAAGAAGTGGTTATGCACCTTTGGGATGGTAGATACACTGGCTGTTTCAACTGCTTTATATTCATTCATCTTCCACTTTGTCTTTCTCCCAGTAGGTGCTTTTCCGGTATAGAAAACCATCGTCTTCTTAACTCCGATCATTCGGTTATCCGGCGAGAACACTGGGCCTGGTGAACCAGTTGCTTTCCAGTATCCTGAACCAGTGGTCCTACTCGGTCTTCCTCCTCTAGCTTCCCGCTCTTGTCTTGGCACAAAGAAAAGCCATTGTTCTGCGTCTCCTCGACATCTCTCTCCCGCAAGATCTACAAACCAAACACACACACCAATTAAGAACACACCTCTCAGATTTTGTGTAAAGCCTCAATTTATGTTTGCCTTAACTACACGATAATTTAAACTTTACGAAATGAAATTGTTTAATTTTAGAAATGTGATTCTTCTGAAAAGTTTTTATTTATTTCTAATTTATAACATATATATAACCACAAATTCAAGAAACACAAACAAAGAATTGAGACCTAGATCTCATGCATACAATCTCAAGATGACAACATTACTCTACTCAAGAAAAGCAAGAAGGAAAACTCTACAGCGAAACGACGTGACGTTATGCTCCTAATTATTGACTACACATCTATACGAAAACATATCATGCATCGACATTATTTATAGCTAATGATTGCATACGTACTTGGAAGCTGCGTAGGCTCAACGCTAAACACATCGAGGATCGGTATGAGACTGTGAATGGTGGCATTTCCTCCACCAAGCTGGATTCTTAGGTAATACGTAAGAAGCTCTACTTCTGTCGGATAGAACCGAAACCCTACAGGAAGTTCGTCCTCCATTTTTACAAATTTGCTTCTTGAATATTATAAAGTGAAACTTCATAGGCTCATGATGAGTTTAAATAGGTGCAAGTAGAGATTGGTTTCTCCGAGTGAAATGAGAAAAGTTTTACGCGTTTGGACTTTAGTCTTTTGTTTATGTATATTATAATTTGTCTTTTCATATTTTGTTGGAGAATTGGACACGGGCCCATATTTGTGATAATTTCGTGCCATTTCTATCATGTCTATACGTGAGACAGTGAGTGCTTTTCACAAACCACGTACCTTATCATTGAATAAGTCAAGGCTTCTTCTTACTAGTCTTCTTCTAATATTCATTAATATCTCTTCCTAGTTTCCATTGTAATTACCTCCATGCATGTTCAGTTTTTGGTAAAAGTGTCGAAATAAATAAATCATATAAAGATTTTTTTTTCACTTTATCAAAAGACAAATATATAAAGATTTTTTTTATGTATTTGCTTTTACAATTTTCTTTGTCTAAAACTATATGGGTAAATTACTAAATTGAGTAAAGTAAATTCAAATATTGCATAGTAAATGTTATAAAAATTAATAATATGAAACAAAAATAAATGGTTAGAACGTCTTACAAACTGAAACGAGGTAATATCATCTTCAAGTGATTTTTGATGAATTTAGGTCATTTGGTCTACATTTATATTAGGTTTGGATGAGCTATATATATATATGAGATTGAAGTTCAAAGCATAAATTATCCATTCTAGTGGCATTTAAATTTACATTTTGTGGATTAATACAATCCGCCGAAGCTACAAACATTTAAGGAAAAAAACCATTTTAGTTCTACGGAGTTGTTAGACCATACACAGTGGGATAATTTTTAGAGTGGTGTGAGTAATAAAAAAATCGAAAATAAGGGAATAGTGCGTTTGGAGACTGAATCCGGGTGTGTGATAACACTCGGGTGTTATCTACACGTGTCTTCCTGTGAGTGGTTGCGATGAATAAAGGCAGCAGCTTTAAGCTCGACAACGATTTCGGTTAGTCTTTTTCTTTATTTCTAAACTTAACCTCTTATATTATTTTAATAATAAATTACCACTAACACACATCCTCCCACTTGTCCCATTGTGTATGCCCTTAGGCGGGGTGTCACATTGAGACATTGGGATGTGGAGCTATCGTTTTTCGACATCAGCTATGACGTTCAGCTAACCCGGAAGTAAAAAACATTTATGGTTAATAAATTTCTTTAGTTTGAATTAGTAGAAGTCTTTTATAGAGAAAGAGATTGTTAATTGTTTTATCATGTCGCCTATTAATTATCTCGTAGACAAACAAAAATATGACACAAACATACATGATTATCCACCTAAATTTCGAAAGTTGTTGACATTATTCGAATAATTTAAATATCCCATAATTGAATAGTACTCCCTCTATATCCAAAAAGACTGATTTTTGAGATTTTATTCTTGTATCAAAAAGATTGATTTTCTATAATGTATTTTATTTTCAAGATCAATTGATTGGAGTAAATGGGATTAAAAGCAGTTTGAAATTAACTTTTTAAAAGATACTATAACACAAAAGTAATTAATAAATGTACATCATTTATTATTTTCTTAATCGTGGTGAAAAACATGGAAAATCATTCTTTGTGAATTGTGATACAGAGGGAGTAGGTGATTAATTAATGATTTTTAGTATTAAGTAAAATATAAGAGTAATATTATGTAGAAATAATAAACTGATGCTCATTATTTTTTTAAAATGACCTGTAATATATACTTTTTCGGTTTCAATATAAGAAATGTTTTAGAGAAATATAACTGTTTCAAATTTAGTGATGTTTTCAATTTTTTATGCAAAAAATAAATCTCTTAATTTTTTTGACCAATTATATTTTACATTTTAGTTTCTTATTGGTTGAATTCAATCTATTTAACAAAACTTGGTAGGAAGTTGGAACCAAGAAGTGAAGAGACAAGGCAAGAGACAAGGCAGGGTGAGATAAGTGTTCGTGTGGTCCTCTGAACATTATTAATCCAAGAGTGAACAAAAGATAATAAAATCGGGTGGAAAGTTTCAATTAAGAAAAAAAAAAAGTTTCAATTAAGTTCATTAACACGTAAAAACGTAAAAGTAGTCAAATTAAAAAGAATAACTAAACGGTGTTGACAGAAAAAAAAAAAAAAAACCACCAATAACTAAAGTGCAAGTGTTCAAACATTCATTCATATACACGAGCAGTGAACGTTAGACTAATTGGTCCATTAGGTCCACAAGAGCTCATATGTACTTGCATCTTTATAACATGTATAAAATAAATTTAGTTGTGCAAATATATAACGGTTGAAGATTTATAAAGTTCCATGCTTGTGTAGTACTAAATCAATCTTTCAAGCAGAGTTCCATGATTTTTTTTTTTTAGTGTTTCCGATTAGTCACATGGTTTATATTAAGGGAAAATCACATTTTTAACCCTTAAAGTGTCGCTGGGTAGCACTTTAAACCTCGAGAGATTTCCACTAACACTATAAACCACAAAAATAAATTTACTAACACTTTAAACCTCCAAACTAGTTTTCATGTTTGCACCGCCATAAATTTATGTTAGAACAACTAATTTATGTTGGTTTAATATAAATTTATTTAATTTAATTTTAATTTTAATTAATTTTATTATTTATTATAATTTTTCGATTATTAAGAAACGTAAAAAAAAAAATAGATTTTTCCGATACGGAGAATGTTTTGTTTTCTCACAAAATTTTGACATTCTTTAGTTTTTATTATTCTATTCAAGGTTCTCTTATACCTCATATTCTACATTATTTGGTATATATTATTATACTATAAACTTCTCTTGTGCTTAAATCTAAAGTTTCAGAGGTTTAATTTCGAAATTTCATGATCGAACGGTTAGTAAACAAAGAAAGTAAAAAAAAAATTTTAATGTTTTTTTTAAGATTTTTATTAATTGTAACAAATAATAAAATTAATGTAAATTTAAATTAAAGTTTTATATATTTTTATTAATTGTAATAAATAATAAAATTAATTTAAATTTAAATTAAATTAAATACATGTATAATAAACAAATAGAAATTAATTTTTCCATCATTTTTTTATGGTGGGACAAACAGAAAAACTAGTTTGGAGGTTTAAAGTGTTAGTAAAATTATTTTGGTGGTTTATAGTGCTAGTAAAATTCTTTCGAGGTTTAAAGTGATACCCAGTAACACTTTGAAGGTTAAAAATGTATTTTTCCCTTTATATTAATGTTAGAATATCACAATATTTTCGGAAACACTATAAACAAATATTTAAAAAAGGGTTCGTATTTCTGTCGAGAAATGGTCTGCAATATTTTTTTTTCGGTTTTCACTAACCCAACATGCTTTAGAAAATATTTGGTTTTTCTCAAGAAATATTCCATCTTTAAAACATTGGATAAATGAAAGTATATATATAAAAATTTATATATGAACTTATTAAAAAAAAATATATATATATGAGCTAAGATGACCTTTTTTTGTTTTGACATCAGCCCTGATGTAATTAACCTCAAACTTATGTTTGATGAATATATATCCTATACTATTATTTGGGGAGTACACTTTATAAGATACCCTTAACTAACCTTCCCTTTTGTAAGAATTTACTTAAGAATGCCATTACAAAAATCTTTTTTTAGAACAAATTTCATTCAATTTATTAAGGATAAACAAGTAAAATACTAATTTATGTCATTTAATTAATTTCATTAAATTATAAAACGAAAATCTGTTTTTTTTTTTTAAAATGACCAATCAAAATGAACATATAAGATTTGATATCTAACTTACCATATTAATTTGTTATTAATCATTAAACTTCACCTCTCATCTTAATATGATTATATTAATATGAAACAAATAAATAATCATATCATCTACATAATAAAAAAAAAGTAATTTTTTTTCTGCATATGCCAAGATTTGAATTTTTAAAAACGCATATAAATTGTTCAATCTATAAAAGAAACAATTAAACGGGTCAAAAATTCAGAGTTGAATAATATATTTCTTTTACACAAAAATAAAGTCAACAAAAATTTCGACTGAGCAACGGGTCAGAATTTGAATATTTATATTCGATTTCATACATTTATTTTTTTGAAATGTATAATTTTATATACTACAATAAAAATTTAAATATTTTAATTTGCAACATTTAAAATAAGTTTTACTTGATATTTTTTAGAGAATATCATCAATACTTAATAGTTCAAAAAGTTAAAAATTATAAATACTCTAATTTGATTATTTTTAAAAATATTTATAATAGGTAGCGGGTTAAATATAATATATTATACGATGAAATGAGTTTTGATCCTTATAACTATTTGAATAGTTATATTTAATTTCATATAATTTATTTTTTGAAATTCATAATTTTATAAACTACAAAAAAATTTAAAGATTTTAATTTGGAATCTTTAAAAATAGTGTAGAATATTTAAATATGGTTTGACACCTCTAAATATTTGAAAATTTGATTACGCAAGCAATTTTAGAATTAACGAATAATAGATTGTGCACGCAATATTTTAAAATAAAATATTGAGATTCTCAAATAAAAATATAGACTCCACGCACGGGTTGATTTTGGTATTATTATATACTAAATATATGTTTATAACATATTCGATTATGCGAATAATTGGTAAATTCCGTAATTATAAATCTCAAACAAATTCTGTAATTAGATTAGCTCAAACAAATCTCTATTTCAACAACCAAAGAATTATAAATTGAAAAAGAATTTTCTAAATTAATTCAAAATAATAGCTAATTTTCTTAATTAATAAAAAATATTATATGTTTTATATGCGATTCATTTATGATATTTTAACTGAAATATATGCAATCCTTTTTTGTGATTGTTAACATAAATTAACTCATTGTTCAAAAAATATTACTTTTTAAAAAATAAAATTATTTTCCGTTTTCATATCTTAAAAAAAAATTATCCATAATTGAGTATTATAGAAAAAATTCTATATTTATTCTAATATTATATATAGGGACTGACAAAAAAATTAATATTTTTTCACTTAATATTATAATATATTAAAATTTAGTTCTTATATATATATT